GACGAGCCCCCACATGTAGCACTGCCCCTTGGGACAAGCTGGAATATATATTATGGGTCCTGCGCTCAATAGATCCAACCCTAAGCAAACTCAATCCCTCTGGCACAACTGGTATTGAATAGCAAATACCCCGCCAAGAAATTTGCTGACACAGGGTTAAATGAAACAAGAACAATTTTATGGAGAATGAAATGCAGTGTAGAGGGGTGGGGTTCCCCTTTCAACTTCAAAACTTACTTTTCTTCTTTTATGCAATGCAGTAAATTTGGTCTGCCACTAGAGGGCTTCACAGCCAAAAATCTCCGGATGGCAGAGTCGCACTTTAAGTAGAATACAACTGATATCAAACAAATAAACTTACTTATGCTTTATCAATGAAATGTATTACCCACACCGGTGTATGATTCTGCTTCTGAGGGGCGTTAGCCAACAATCACCTCAGAGTCAGAACAGAATGCAATAAAGAGGTACCTCTAATAAAGCTACTAAGCCAGATTCCCCACTTCAGTCCTTTAACGGTGGAGCTCTAGTTGGTGCACGTTTAGTCCTTACAATGAAGTAAATAGCAGCTGAAGGCTTCTTTGGAGTTTCAGCTGGTGTGGGTTACATCAGATTTCACTAGGTTTCTGGGCTGAGAGGGTCCAACCTCAGTGTCTAGAGCAACACAAAGCACCCCAAGACCAGGGGCAGTCGCAGGATGCAATCTCCCAGTATGTGTCAGTCCCCGGGGCAGACAGTCTCAATTACACTGGTGGTGAGGGGCAAAGCAGGCAGGAGGATCTGTGGCTTGCACAGGGCCCCGGATGGGTGAGATCCCAGCAGTGGGGTGCGGATGTCCCAGTCTATATGCAAAGTGTAAATGGTGTGTCTTACTCTCTCCAGTGGGACAGCTCACCAGACTCTGAACACACAGCAGGGTCCCTCTATCCGCGCTGAGTGCTGTAGTGCCTCCTCCTCTGCTTGGACGGACTCCACATGTCCCTGTCTTTTCTCCAGCCTGGTGTCTCTCTGTTCTCCCCTTCACTTCCTGCTTCCTCCCCCTCCCAGCATTCTTTGCTGTGTAGTGGATGAGTCATGAACTTGGCAGAATGCCCAGGTTTTACAAATAGGAGAGAGAGAGAAAAGACTTACTGCTGAACATGCGATTCCTTCTGAATCCTCTTGTACAAGGAGCCTGCTACAGTTGTATGCCTGAAAACTGAGCGTTTTCAAGCAGCAGTGTGCAAGAGGCTGTATAGTCACATGGATAATCCAGCCACCATGGAATATGTCAAGGCAGATGTTGACTATTGAAAAACATCATAGGAGGTGTGAAATTTTGTGAAATTTCCCTGTTCTATTTCTTTAATTTATTTGTCATGGTGCTAGAAAGTCTGGGACATGTGGTAATCATTATAATTACATGGCAAAAGGTGTGAAAGGTTGCCAGATCACCAGGGTACAGATGTTAATATGGAATTATATGTAAAAATGACAGCTTGTTTTGAAGGACCCACCTCTCTGATTAGGGATGGTTGTTCCAGTTACAACACAATTTGGCCATCTTTACAAGGGAAAATAAAGAATGAAAACTGGGAAGTATTATTTATCAATAGTTTCTATTGGAATTTTACATATAAGTACAAAGATAACAGCTTACAAAGCCATCCACAACACTGCCCCTAGCCACATCACCAACCTCATCCACAGATACTGCCCAAATCGCCCACTCCACTCCTCCCATGATATCCTCCTCTCTAGCTCCCTCATCACCTCCTCCCACGCTCGCCTCCAGGACTTCTCCAGAGCCTCTCTCATCCTCTGGAACTCCCTACCACAGCATGTCCGATCAGCCCCCACCCTGTCTGCCTTTAGACGATCTTTGAAAACTCACTTCTTCAGGGAAGCCTACCCCACCTCCACCTAAGAACTGTACTTGAATCACCTCCGCCAGATCATCCCCCACAGCTATCACCTTTTGTATCACCTCCCCCTTCCTTTAGATTGTAAGCTCCACGAGCAGGGCCCTCCTATTCCTTCTGTACTGAAATGTATTGTAATTGTACTGTCTCCCTTATATTATAAAGCGCTGCTCAAACTGTTGGCACTGTATAAATCCTGTATAATAATAATAATCCAGTGTGTATTAGAACAATAATCTATTATCAATAACAATTTGACAGAAAATAAAAAAAAAACAGAGATATACAAATATAGGAATTCCATTGACAAATTAACGTATAGGCGTGGTGTGTCGGAGCTTAAAGAAAGCAGCAAGAGGGCATTCTACAAAAATAAGGTGTCTACACAGGTAAATGTGTTTGGTACCATCTAAGCCATGGTTGCCAAAGGGTAAATACTCGTTTATAATTACCTTTGCTGGAGACCATATAGAGCACATAAGCGCAGTGTTTGTGAACTAGAATGAGAGCATCAAACAGTAGGCGGGTGAGAGTTTTTCCAGGATCTTGTGATGCTCAATCTGGTTGCCAGAAGGATGTGGGTAACATAGTGTCTGGCATGAGAATTAATAGTTTCAGTATGTAGGTTCAGTAGTAGATCTGGATTAGAGGGGACATAGGACTGTGAAACAGTAGATATAATTTGAAAAATCGTAGACCAGAAGTTGAGTAGGAGTGGGCAATGCCAAAAGATGTGAATAATGTCCCCAAATTTCCTGCAGTTCTTCCAACAGAGAGGGGAGAATTGGTAATTGAAACTTGCTATTTTGGTGGGGGTGAGGTACCATCTAAGGGAGAGTTTTTGTGTTAATTCCCAAAGTGCTGAGCAACAAGTGGATCGGTAAATTGATTGTAGTGCTTGAGTCCATTGTTGCTCAGTGTAAGTAGTAGCGAGATCTTTCTCCTATTGGAGAAGTGGTCTGGACTTGGTAAATGATTTATTTTGATTTAGAATATTGTAGAAAAGTAAGATACCTTTGTGTTCTTTGGTAAGATAGGCAAGATAGGTAATTCCAAGTGAGTTTAGGAAGAGTGTAGAAGGGGTGGGATTGTTAAATAGACAGTGAGATATCCTAAGATATGTAAAAAGTAATTGGGGAGGTAATTGGAATTCTTGCTGAAGTGATGTGAATGATTTAATAGAGGAGCTGTTAAAAAAATCCTGAATATAGGACATGCCGCAATCTGACAGTTGCTGTATGGGAATGTGTGGGGTAAGATGTGTTAAAATGTTCAAAGGGAGTGTGGGTGTTACTACTTGTGTGGGAGAACAAGGGGTGTACATTAGTACCTTCCATGCAGAGACTGTTGTTAGAATAGGTGGGGGGAAAGTCGCTGATAGCAGAGTTACTAGGGGTATTCCCAGTACCCATGCACTGAGGTTGCCTCCTTGTATGTAAGTGGACTCTATTTGTCCCCACAATGTAGTAGTGGATGTGGTATTAAACCACTCTCTCAGTTGTGAGAGTATAGTTGCGGTATAAGAGTCGCTGAAGTTAATGTAACCAGAGCCTCCTACTGATCTGTGTTTTGTAAGAGTTACATGAGCACATTGAGGTTTTTTTTCCTGCCATATGTACGTATTTAAAGAAGTTTGTAAAGATTTGAAGTATGATCGGGGGTAGGAATAGGGAGGGATCTGAATAAATAAAGCAGCTGGGGAAGGATGGACATTTTAAAGGCGGCAAGTCTACCATCCCAGGAAAGTTCGTGTTTTTGAAGGGTTTGCAATTCCCGTTGCATTTTTGAGAGAATTGGAATGTAGTTGGCCAAAAATAGGCCATTAACTGATTTAGTTAATTGTATTCCTAAATAGGATATACTGGACTCTTCCCATACAAATGGGAATTGTAATAATGATCTTCTTATCTGCAAGATTATATAATTAGAAATGCATAAGGATAAAGAATTTCTTCAGACAGCTAAATGTCAGTAATATGTCTGTGTTAAATATGTCCAACATGCCATTTTAATACACAGTCAAGGCTTTAATGATGATAAATACATTAAATACAGTTGAGGACTTGTCACTTAGTATCCATGACAGGCTGACAACCAGCACTTATTTATACTGGAATCAGCTCAGTTATGTGTTACAAGGTCTCTCATTTAGGAGCAAAATGAGCAATAGACGTAGTAAAAGCCTGTACTGTAATTTCTTGTGTCCAAATGTCCAGTTGATTAGCTGGCACTCTAATAGTCTAAGACTGACTATACATGATTTGGTTTTTTTCGATCTGCAACTGGGCTGATTGAGAAAAAAAACTAACGGTTTCCCCCATCTACATAAGCGAGGTGGATGGAGGAATCCTCTCCACTGTGCTATTGTATTCTGACAGTGGGGACTCCTCTGCTGTCAGAATGGATTGATCTGTGCTAGAACCAACTGACTGCTGCCTCTGATCGTATGACAATTTTCCAACACTCCCGTTTGATAAGAGTCTATTGTTAGATGGACTTCTGTTGACTGGGAACAGCCACAGATTGATTGAAATTTGGCCAGTCCCTGCTGAACCAGCTGAATTTATATGCATCTATGGCCAACTTTAGTTTATTCACTAATGAGTCACTGAGCAAGAGCAAGCACCTAGCCAGTGAAAGTATAGTGAGAGTAGGATGTTTGATGTGAATACTTGTTCTTGGTCTATGACTAAAATTGGCCATAGATGATGAGATTTTCCTTCCTGCAACCACAGGTCAGAGTTGGTGGGGTAATCCCTCTCATGGAGCTATTTTGTTCTCCCAGCTGGGGGAGGGGGGGGGGGAGCCATTCCCTGCCAAGAGAACACAATGATTATTACTAGGAGCTATAGCTGCTGGCAATAATATCATGACAAATTTGACAGGCTGGTTGTACCCAAATCTTATAACAATCAATTTGGATACAATCAGTTTGCCCATCGATGGTTTGAATATTGGAGAGTCCAGCTGGCATAGATTTGAACCATCTATAGCCAGCTTAAGAAATAATTAGTCAGTAGATTACTGTGCTAAGTCCTAAAGTTGTGTTTCTCTTGTCTTTTTGTGTTGTATGTGTGCCTAGATATCTACCGCACTAACCTGCAGCATTTCTTTCCCTCAGCTTCACAACAGGTTTTGGAGCTCCCGTGGTTTGTCATGATTTCCTTTTCAATGTGTGAAAATGAAATTCTCCAGGTATCTGCAAAAAAATACGTAAAAATCTGCATCATGGTGAGTTAAATGGGTTTAGAGCATGACTTTAGGTTTTCCTGCATCTGCAATGAGCTATCCAGAAGCACATGGTATTTTATCTCTGCATTTATTTGTAAACATTTAATGCCCAAAGCCTGGCCACTCACTATTACATACAGTTGTTATGAAGCCTGCCATTCTGTCATGGAAGTGTATTAGTTCCCTGGCTATCATAAAGCTTTGACTTTGACACTTATAAAATTCTTCAGAATGCATATTTTGTAAATAAGTGTCAGAATTCCTTATCTCTATATCTGTTTTGTTTGGTTTGTTATTCAATATAATTAAAATGAGACACAGCCAGGCAACTAACATTTTCAAAAGCATCATTTGTGCTTATCTGATGACATGATAGAAATTAAAATACTGACAGTTTGAAATGAGTTACAATGAGTTCAGTGAATTATCAATAACATCACTCAGCAGTTGTTGAATAATTAACTCTTTAACTCCCTACAGAAATCATGCAACCAATGTGTGTATACTGTAAAAAACAACAAATTAACTTGTGAGCCACTGAGGTATATTTAAAAATGTGAGTATTAGATCACTGGTAAAAAATGCCCACTCTCATATGATGTACGTTTATCAACAAAATATTTAAATAATTACCGCGCTCCAATACCCTCAAGGAATTCAATCTAAAAGTGCATAGTGCTTATAAAGTGAGTGAATACAATCAAAAAGTGCACAGTGCTTATAATTAAAATAAGAAATGTATATAAAGGTGATTGAAAATAAATAAATAAAAAAAATGTATAAAAAAAAACAAAAAAAAATATCAAATTTATCATCCTATCAAATCATTAATTGTGAAATCTCCATATAAATGTGCCAATATGTCATTTATGAATCACCAGAAAAATAAAAATAAAAAATGCAATGAGAAATACAAAAGGTTTACTTTAAAAAAGCAACAATAGTGTCTCAAATATAACTGTGTAGATGAGTGTCCAGCCAAAACAAATATACTCTCCTTTGATATGCAGATAAGATCTTTGTAGGAATGTTGTAAGCCTGTGTGGCTGCAGGGCTGTGAGGGAAACTCCCTCCTCTTACGCGTATCGCTACAGGGATTGCATAGCTTTGTCAGGGGGATGATGTGTCCCGGACGAAGCTACGCAATCCCTGTAGCGATACGCGTTTGGGGAGGGGCAGTGACGTCACCACTCAATCTATCTTCTATACAGGTACTGAAGGTGCGTGGATACACACCCTCTGATCTTCTTGCATTGTAAACTGCGCATTTCTTTCACACTTACCAGCGCTAATGAATTATATGAAATTATATGAAATGAGGAAACAGAGGTTTAAGGAGAGGATAAGAGGAGGGAGTTTCCCTCACAGCCCTGCAGCCACACAGGCTTACAACATTCCTACAAAGATCTTATCTGCATATCAAAGGAGAGTATATTTGTTTTGGCTGGACACTCATCTACACAGTTATATTTGGGACACTATTGTTGCTTTTTTAAAGTAAACCTTTTGTATTTCTCATTACATTTTTTATTTTTATTTTTCTGGTGATTCATAAATGACATATTGGCACATTTATATGGAGATTTCACAATTAATGATTTGATAGGATGATAAATTTGATAATTTTTTTTTTTTTTTTTTATACATTTTTTTATTTATTTTCTATCACCTTTATATACATTTCTTATTTTAATTATAAGCACTGTGCACTTTTTGATTGTATTCACTCACTTTATAAGCACTGTGCACTTTTAGATTGAATTCCTTGAGGGTATTGGAGTGCGGTAATTATTTAAATACAATGTGTATACTGTATTATGTATAAACAGCATTATTTAATAAGCCAGTGCAAAGACAAATGATGACGTATCATGTGGTGAAGCCCATAAAGACCAAAAAGATTTCATGTTCCTATTATTCACACACCTATTACATTAGGCCATTATTTCACTCTGAAAAGTTTACAAACAACTGATTGTAATGTGGACAAGGCTCTCACAATGAGAGTGAATAATCTTTTTACACTGTGAAAGAAGAGTTTTAAAATGTCTCTATTCCTATAGGGGGACAAGTGTGTTTGGGGGGGTTGCTATATTCACATGAAACTTATTTAATCAGAAGCAATTAGGCCATGTTCATTCACAGAAAAAGTCCGGGGACCCTTTCACCCACATGTGCACAGCACTAGTTGGCAGAAGTGTTTAACCCATGTTAATAGCCTGTGGAAATGACACTGTAAGCAGCTTCTTAGACAAGTCTAGCCAATTTCTGATATACAGCTTCAAATCTGTAGGGAAAGGATTGATTTACAAAACGTGAAATCCACAAACTACAGAGATCTCAATGGGGACATCTTTTCTGATGACAACTAACAAAGGGTGGATTTATACAATGTTAATATGATCTTCTCATACTTTAAATAAATGGTGTATGCATACAGGTTAAGGCTAGGTTCACACTGCAACTTGTTCCAATTTTCAGTCCCATTTTGTTGGGTGCCATCAGTGCTTTTTTTATGTGTTGGAGCGTTTTTTCAGCTACACAGTGAACGATGGCTGCTGACCCACACAAAAAACTTCACTGACACTTGACTGCTCCCATCATTTGCCGGGGTGAGGTCACCCAGTGACGTCATTGACCATATATGAACATGTCCATATTAGATCAATGACATCACAGGGTGATCCCCCCCCCCCCGTTTAATCCATGACCAAATATAGATATGTCCATATATGATTAATGACATCACTGGATGACCCCTGTCCCTTTAGGCGGTGTGTCATTCGGCATGAGACAAGTGACTGGAGCGGTCGGGTGTCAGAGGTTATTATTTGGTGCTGGTTGGCAGCCATCGCTCATCATGATTGACATGGACCTACTGTACATCACTGGACAACATTATTGATGATAGATGTACACAGGGTGGCATTTGTTTTTTTTTTTAAATAAAGGACTTTCAAACATTTGGGTGTGTTTATTTCTAGGGCGGATTTTTTTTTACTCATTCACATGGGGAGGACTGGGATCTGGGGGCCCCCTTATTGTTAAAGGGGGCTTCCAGATTCCATTAAGCCTCTGCTGCAGACCCCCACAACCACTGGGCCAGAGTTGTGGGGAAGAGGTCTTTGTCCTTATCAACATGGGGACAAGGTGATTTGCCAGAGCAAAGTACCCACCCCCATGTTGATGTTATGTGACCTAGTATGGTTTGGGGGGGAAAGAGGTGTACACTCACCCCTCTCATCCTTTCCTGACCTTCCAGGCTGACCGGGCTGATCTGGATTGTTTGCCTGAACGTTATACCTTTGTTCTTTGCTTCCAGGCTGCATGCTTGAATAAAGGACTGTATGGATTTTGAGGGGGATCTCACCCCATCTTGTTTTTTTTTTTGCGTGGATCCCACCTTAAAATCCATACTTGAAGGGCCTGATTTCAGTGGGGTAATCCGCATACCGTTTATTTTTTTTTTTATTTTTAATGATAGGGCACACAAAATCATGCTACATTACACCAAAGTAGCACCTGTATCTTCCCCAAAATCACATAGCAGTTTTGTTGCATTGATGTGAGCAGGCACCACTGAAATTAATGCGATTTCCACTGTGTGCGACCCAAGTCACATCTTAAATCACATTAGAGTGAACCATGCGCAAAATATGTTGTAAGATGTTGAGGACTCATATTTACTGGTCAATGGATGTAAATCATTTTATGCAGACTAGACAGCTACTGTATATGCATGCACTTTCCTTCCCATACTCCTTTGCAGTGCCTTGAAGGTGTTGGAAGAGCAATATCTTGATGATAGTCTGGGAAGAGCTTAGAATCTGTCAAAAAGAGCTTGAGTCTGCCTAAGGAAACAGTTGGCAAGGATTAATGACAAATAAAAGCAGTGAAAAAAAAAAATATAAAACACAATAGCTAAGTGAAAATATGACACAAAATATAAGCACATGATGATATCTTTGTGTACTTTACTCAATCAATTATCATTATGTTGTTCACATGGCGATCTCATTGAGAACTTTGCACTTCATCACAATTTTCATTTTTCAGTTGGTGGACTTATGTCAAATGATTTACATATTTGTGTATATTTATTGAAGTGTTATATTTTGTGTCATATTTTCACTTTGCTATTGTGTTTTATACTTTTTTTTGCGCTGCTTTTATTTGTCATTGTTTCATGAGGTGATTATTGCATTATTCACCATTAAGATAGCTGCATGCTTACACATTTTATGTGCTTATTTATTTATTTAGGTGAGTGATTTACTGTGCACTTTTTTAGGTGTTAAGTTTTATATATTTTTACATCACATTTGCGCGGTGAATAAACGGTTTATAAATTAGTTGGCAAGGATTGCCAGTTCACAGTGCTGGCCCCAGAAGCTACCACTGTGATTGACAAGATGATAATATTTATTAAATACAAACAAAAAAGTGGGGGTGCCACCTCCAATACAATCCCACAAATAAGGAGAAGCTGCCTTTAAATGTGAAAAACCACTATAATCATAAATGTAAATAAGGAAATGGCGGTTATCGGCATTCCTCTCCTCACGAGCTGTCACGCTGATACGTGACGTCTGACGCACTCACGCGGAAACCGGAAGTGCAGTCGCGGCCATTTTGAGAGTGGGAACATGTGTTTTCCCTCACCAGGATAACACTATAGCTGCTCTAACTGCTGGAGTGAATTTCCACTTGCTGATTTCTTCAAATTTTAATGTAAGATTCTAAATAAAATGTTTTATACCTTTGATACATATACCTTTGACAAAAAATGGAAAGTGCAGCGCTATAGAAGAAAAAACAAATAAACAAATAAATTGTCCTTTTAAAGTGATAAACAGTAAATGTCCGATGTAGCCGTATCAAATGAAATGAGTGGTCCAGAGAAAAACTTCAAACAGCTCTCATGTCATCCAATATCCCAATACGAAAGGAATAGATAGATTGCCCACTTACCAGAAGCGCAATCTTAAAGCGCATGTAAAGGTCATATGTAGCTGGGGTCCTGTATGGATACTGCCTGGAGATACACTGATGGCTCCTCACTGGTATGGGGGTACCGGTCTGGTCAGATCACATAGCTCCTCAGATCCACACACAGAAGCCTGAAATGCTGGGGCTCTTGTTGCACTCTTATGACTGTGGCCTGTGTCTGGTCTGTTTCTCAAACACAGACCAGACACAGGCCACAGTCATAATAAGAGTGCAACAAGAGCCCCAGCATTTCAGGCATCTGTGTGTGGATCTGAAGAGCTATGTGATCTGACCAGACCGGTACCCCCATACCAGTGAGGAGCCATCAGTGTATCTCCAGGCAGTATCCATACAGGACCCCGGCTACATGCGCTTTAAGATTGCGCTTCTGGTAAGTGGGCAATCTATCTATTCCTTTCGTATTGGGATATTGGATGACATCAGAGCTGTTAGAAGTTTTTCTCTGGACCACTCATTTCATTTGATACGGCTACATCGGATATTTACTGTTTATCACTTTAAAAGGACAATTTATTTGTTTATTTGTTTTTCTTCTATAGCGCTGCACTTTCCATTTTTTGTCAAATTTATATAGAAAGGTTTTGTGGTTCCTTTTAGTGCAATTAGCTGCTTGTGAAAGTTCGCTCACTATTCTGCTTATATACATCTTTGATATATATACTGCTTAAGTCTCCTATTTTACCCTTATGAGGAGTATGGAAGAGTGACCACAGGAGTGTTAGTAAGCCGAAGAGTGATACTACTTACTGACTAAGGATATCCTGCAAAGCCTGTCATTACTTTCTAAGGGTAATTATCCATTTGCACTAGTTGGAGGTGATCACGGATTAACCACCATTTGAGTTGGAGTGTTCACGAATATTGATTGGGTGTATATATACACATGTATTTATATATTTATATTTTTTTTGTGGTATTCACCTATGATTAGAGTGTACACGATATGCTGTTTGCATGATACACTTGTTTGCTCACAACTGTGTTTATGAAGTTTGGTGTACCTTTATTTATAATTTTATGATATAATTTTATAGAAGGTAATATACTATTATACGTTTATTTTTTTGAGGTTCACGGAGAATGATAAGACAATTGGAATTCCACACTGGATCATGAAAGAGTGACATTTTGGATTTTGATTGGACTTTGGAAAGACACTTTATCAGAGATATATTTTGGGACATTTATTTGATTTTATCATTTTATTAATTTATTGATTTTTTTTTTTTTTTTATTTATGTATGATGAGTTTATAATTTAAATTTTGTTGGTATTGGGATAGGAGAGATTTTGATATGCCAAAGAGAAGGTTGGTTATATTGATTTAACTTTCAAGGGTGAAAGTATTACTTTTCTTTAAGGGGTTTTGGGAGTACGTATCCATTAGTTAGTAAAGTGTGCGGAGGTACCATTTATTGAGCTCATGAGGAGAGATGGTAATCGACATTTCTCAGAGGGGACATCTACACTGATCATCAGGGCACTGATGATCAGTGCCCTGATGGTCAGTGTAGCCCCATCAGTGCCACCTGTCATTGCCCATCAGTGCACATCAATGCCACATATCAGTGCCTACCAGTGCACATCAATGCCACATATCAGGGCCCATATGAGCTGCCTTTCAGAGCCAACTATCAGTGACAGTCAGTGCCACCTGTCAGTGCCGCCTATCAGTGCACGTCAGTGCCGCCTATCAGTTCCAGTCAGTGCCACCTAACAGTGCCAGTCAGTGCCGCCTATCAGTGCCATGTACAGTGCATCCAGAAATTAAAAGCACACAGCCCACATAACAAAAGAGTGGCTATGGGCCAACTCTGTGAATGTCCTGGAGTGGCTCAGTCAGAGCCCAGACTTGAACCCGATTGGACATCTCTGGAAAGATCTGAAAATGGCTTTGCACCAACGCTCCCCATCCAACCTGATGGAGCTTGAGAGGTACTGCAAAGAAGGATGGGAGAAACACCCAAAAATAGGTGTGCCAAGCTTGTAGCATCATACTCAAAACGACTTTAGGCTGTAATTGGTGCTAAAGGTGCTTTAAGCAAAGTATTGAGCAAAGACTGGGAATACTTATGTACATGAGGTTTTTTTTCATTTTTTATTTTTAATATATTACAAAGATTTCAAAATTGACTTCTTTCACATTGTCATTATGGGGTATTGTTTGTATAATGTTGAGGGAAAAAATGAATTTAATTCATTTTGGAATAAGGCTGTAACATAACAAAAGGTGGCAAAAGTTACGTGCTGTGAATACTTTTTGGATGCACTGTATGAGTACTGCCTTTCAGTGCCCATCAGGGATGTCTGTGAATGCCTATCAGTACCACCTACCAGTGCCTCCTCATCAGTGCAGCCTATCAGTGCCCATCACTGCAGCCTCATCAGTGCAAGGAGAAAAATTACTCATTTACAACATTTTATAACAGAAACTAAGAAAAAAAAACTTTTTTTTTTCAAAATTTTCAGTTTTTGGTTTGTTTTTCAAAAAAATAAAAAAAAAAACTGTGGTGATTAAATACCACCAAAAGAAAGCTCTATCTGTCTCAAACAAATGCTAAAAATGTCATATGGGTACAGTGTTGCATGACCACGCAATTGTCATCCAAAGTGCGGCAGTGCTGAAAGCTGAAAATTGGCCTGGGCAGGAAGGGGGTGAAAGTGCCTGGTAGGTAAGTGGTTAAACATTGTACCAAAATGCCTCTTTGACAGCTGCAGCTGCCTAGACCTGCTGTATACTTAGCAATCCTGGCTGTGATTAATCAAAGCCAACAATTGCTGTATACTGAGAGGGGGGCTGTATACTGAGGGGGAGGAGTGTCCCAGTAGTGGATCAGAGAGATTGGATGTGCTACACAAGTCCTGTGTAAGACCCTGTGCATCTAACAACCCTTACTACCCATAACTTTAACTACCTAATAGAACTAATTTATGCCATTGTCTTAGCCTGCTATGGAAGCCACTACTAAAGTTGATCTGCAGCCCTTACACCCCTTTTTTTCAGCCCAATCCAAAGCTTTCTTGCGGGTTGTGACCATTTCAGATACTCACCTACCCAGCTTTTTTTTTATTCTTTCTTCTAGTCAAGATGACATTATTGCAAGAATTGGGCTTATGAATTTGCTCTAAACACAGCATTCATCTCCAAAACTAACCTTTGACTTTTTTTCCTTCATTGCATTGCTTAGGTACCATATAGAACGAAAGGAACTTGAAATCTCTCTTCACCTTTGTTCCCAGCCAGCTGCCTATATTCATTCCATCTCTTGTCTTTTCTGGCCAGCTCTGCTTGATTTCTAAGGCAATGACAAGATCCACGTCTATGTTTGTTGGCTTATTCTCAATTGTGAGAGTCACAGCAGGGCTGGAAGGATTTCTTCTCTTTATAGAAACTGGCATTCCTGTAAAAAGGTATAAGCAAAATTAATCCTGACAAACAAAATACAACATAAAGACAGCAAAAGATTAAAATATATAGCTAAGAATTGCACTTGTGATCCTTGAAGCCACGATGTGGTGAAATGGGTCAAGGAGGAGATGGCTTCTTTGGGTGGAAACCCTATGGCTGTATATGTACACTGCTCAAAAAAGGAGCACTTTTTAATCAGAGTATAGCATCAAGTCAACTAAACTCCTGGGATATTGATATGATCAGGTAAGTAGCAGAGGGGGTTGTTAATCAGTTTCAGCTACTTTGGTGTTAATGAACTTAACAACCGTTGCACTAGATGGGCGACAATGAGATGACCCCCAAAACAGGAATGGTTTTACAGGGGGAGGCCACTGACATTTTTGTTCCCTACTCATCTTTTCTGACTGTTTTTCACTAGTTTTGCACTTGGCTAGGGTAAGTAGCATGAGGTGATACCTGGACCCTACAGGTGGTTGGTGCAATAGCAGCTGGGCTGATGAGCTGCAGGATGTTTTGAGGAATGGTCATCTCTCATATACACAGATGAGCTTGTTTTATTACTTCCTTTGTGAGTGTTTTTAATCCTTTGCCATTAAATACAGTGTTATTACTACACTCAGACGGGCGCCTCCTGTCTCTTTTCTTCAGGACAGGTATCTGCTCCTTTATGCAAGGAGGAACAGGATGAGCACTGCCAGAGCCCTACAAAATGACCTCCAGCAGGCCACTGGTGTGAATGTCTCTGACCAAACAATCAGAAACAGACTTCATGAGGTTGGCCTGAGGGCCCAAAATACTCTAGTGGGCCATGTGCTCACTGCCCGACACCATAGAGCTCGATTGGCATTTGCCATTGAACACCAGATTTGGCAGGTCCACCACTGGCACCCTGTGCTTTTCACAGATGAGAGCAGGTCCACCCTGAGCACATGTGACAGACGTGAAAGGGTCTTGAGAATGTTATGCTGCCTGTAATATAGTTCAGCATGACCGTTTTGGTGGTGGGTCACTGATGGTCTGGGGAGGCATATCCATGGAGGGACACACAGACCTCTACAGGCTAGACAATGGCACCCTGACTGCCATTAGGTATCGGGATGAAATCCTTGGACCCCATTGTCAGACCCTACACTGGTGCAGTGGGTCCTCGGTTCCTCCTGGTGCACGACAATGCCCACTTCATGTGGTGAGAGTATGCAGGCAGTTCCTGGAGGATGAAGGAATTGATACCATTGAATGGCCCCCATGCTCGCCTGACCTAAATTTAATAGAACACCTCTGGGATATCATGTTTCGATCTATCGAACGATGCCAGGTGGCACCTCAGACTGTCCAGGAACTCAGTGATGTCCTGGTCCAGATCTGGGAGGCAACAATCCAGGACACCATCCATCATCTCATTAGGAGCATGCCCTGACATTGACAGGCATGCATACAAGCACATGGGGGCCGTGCAAACTACTTAGTACCATTTTGAGTTCCTGCAATGAAAATTCAGCAAAATGGACTAGCCTTCTGCATAATTTTTCACTTTGATTTTTGGAGTGTCTTTGAATTCAATCCTCTGTAGGTTGATCATTTTAATTTCCATCAAACGATGAGGCATCCTTACATTCCTAACACATTACCCAGTCCATATCAGTATAGATATCCAGCATGATATTTTTCCCCATTGAGATCTGATGTGTTTTCAAAGTGTTCCTTTAATTTGAGCAGTGTATTATGGATGATCCAATAAAGTGACTTAGAAGAGTACAGACTATATTTTCACCTTATGCGAAGACAGGCTTCTTGAACTTGCAACCAGAGTTCAAAGATCAAACAAAAAGGCATGTCTAGAGTGGTGCGTTAGGATTGGATTAAGACTGCAGAGTTTTGTAGTGTTACTGGTGCTCAGTCACTTGTGTCAGAGTTCAGAAGTACAAAAGAATTACCAAATTTATTGTCTCTGCATGATAGCAAGGCAAGTAGCATTTTCAGAAGCACAGGTCACCAGTGGCAGTCTCTGCCCGTCTCTCGGCTTAGGCTTCCTTTTACACAAAGCTGCATTTCAGATTCACAGTGCCACATGTGTCAGTATCAACATATTCATCGTAAAGGAATAGCTCAAACCTTTCATTTTGATTTGGACACATAGGGGTTTATTTACTAAAGCTGGAGAGTGCAAAATCAGACTCCCTTCTGCATAGAAACCAATCAGCTTCCAGGTTTCATTGCCAAAGCTTCATTGAACAAGCTGAGGTTAGAAGCTGATTGGTTTCTATGCAGAAGGGAGTCTGATTTTGGACTCTCCAGCTTTAGTAAATAAACCCCATATTGTTATATTTGTCCCGGGTGGGTAGATTTAACCATTCTATCTGTGCTGATGAGCGCCATCGCTGAAGCAGAAGGTGCTGGAAAACCCCAAAATATTACATTTGTTACCAGAACAAGAGGTGAAATATTCCAATGGGGATAGCTGTTGCTGTGTCAACTGTCTAAAAGCGCAATTCCCACTTTGGATAGATTTTCTCACACATTCTGTCGCCTACACTATCTATTACTATAAAGGTTTGACTATACATATGCTTTAATTCTGCACACAAATATGCAGGGAGAGCTAGCATCTCAGCTACCAGTCAGATACTGTATGCATTACATCAAGTAAAACAAAGTATTTAATATGGTATTGTAGTCAGCAATGGTGTACCTAGTGTATTTGTATACAGTAGATTGCCTGGAGCAAATTATTTTTTTAATACTTCCCTCCTTCAACTGTCAAATTATTTTTAAAAATGTATTATTAAAGTGGTATTAAACCCAAAAACACAAATGTCATATATTGCAGCTTATCAATCCTTAAAGTATTACTAAACCCACAACAGTAAAATCAGCCTGTATATGCAGTAAAGCATTCTTGTTATACTCACTGTGGACCCTAAGGGGTTCCACTACATTGTGTAAAAATGCTGTTTGATCCTGACTTCTCTGATCCTCCCCTTCTTCCAGTGTTCCCCTATTATCTCCTAATAAGACATATCGTGTGGAGACTCTCTGCACATGCTCATTTTGGTGTGTATCGCTAGAGAGTTTTTTTTTCTTGGGAGAGTACATGTGATCAGCATAGGGCCAATTAGCACTGTCCAGACAGAGTCAAGGGGTTCTGTATCCTCCTAGAGCAGAAATAAAACTCCTCCTACAAGCTTTAACCATTGATCTGCTAAACATTGATAGAAATCACAAGACTGCTCTAACTGCTGATGAGAAGAGGAATTTAGCAGTTTATATTTACTAAATAATTGCATTTCCATGTTCTGTGTACTGTGGGAGACCAGATATAGTGAATGCAGGGTTCTGGGTTTAGTGATAATTAAATGTGGTGGCTGCATTCATTTTCATTTCTTAGTCTTCTCTTTATTTTCACCTGGTGATCTGGCTAGTACCATACTCCCTTCCTGGGCGAACACTTCGTCCCTCTGGGAAGGTGTCATATGACGTCCTTCCTGGATCGCGTTTTGCGCGTGCCCTCAGGACCGTGCTGTGGCGAGATCTGTCACCTGTTGGACACGGCCGGTGACAGATTTGTGTACCAGCCCCATTGCCAGTACCATGTGACCTGCTGTGACCAATCACATGACAGTTGTATACAATGGATGGCTTCCTTTCATGCCATCTATTGTATGCAACCAGTGGTGTATTTTGGTTTTGTGCTGCCTAGGCAAGACTAAAATCAGGCACCCCCCGCATTTAAATTTATCCCAACCCTTCGTGTTTAAGATCCACCCCTTCATCTGTAAACTCCACCCCTTCCTCTTTCGGCTCCACCTCTTCCTGATAGAGCTCCACCCACTGACAACAATGATGGGGCACTAATCCTCCCACTGACAACAACGATGGTGCCCCATCATTAGTGTCAGTGTGGGAGGAATAGTGCCCCATCATTAGTGTCAGTGGGAGGAATAGTATCCCATCATTGGTGTCAGTGGGAGGAATATTGCCACATCATTGGTGTCAGTGTGGGGGGAATAGTGCCCCATCATTAGTGTCAGGAGGAATAGTTCTCCCGTTATTGGTGTCAGTGGGAGGAATGGTGCCCCATAATTGGTGTCAGTGGGAGGAATAGTTCTCCCGTTATTGGTGTCAGTGGGAGGAATAGTGCCTCATCATTGGTGTCAGTGGGAGGAATAGTGCCCTATCATTGTTGTCAGTGGGAGGACTAGTGCCCCATCATTGTTGTCAGTGGGAGGACTAGTGCCCCATCATTGGTGTCAGTGGGAGGAAAAGTGCCCCATCATTGGTGTCAGTGGGAGGAAAAGTGCCCCATCATTGGTGTCAGTGGGAGGAAAAGTGCCCCATCATTGGTGTCAGTGGGAGGAAAGTGCCCTATCATTGGTGTTAGTGTGGGAGAAATAGTGCCCATCATTGGTGTCAGTGGGATGAATAGTGCCCCATCATTGGTGTCAGTGGGAGGAATAGTGCTCCATCATTGGTGTCAGTGGGAGGTAAAGTGCCCCATCATTGGTGTCAGTATGAGGAAAAGTGCCCAATCATTGGTGTTAGTGTGGGAGGAATAGTGTCCCATTATTGGTGTCAGTGGGATGAACAGTGCCCCATCATTGGTGTCAGTGGGATGAATAGTGCCCCATCATGTGTGTCAGTGGGAGGAATTGTGCCCCATGATTGGTGTCAGTGGGAGGAATAGTGCCCCATCATTCGTGTTAGTGTGGCAGGAATAGTGCCCCATCATTGGTGTCGATGTGGGAGGAATAGTGCCCCATCATTGGTGTCAGTGACACCAATGATGGGGCACTATTCCTCCCAAACTGACACTAATGATGGGGCACTATTCCTCCCACTGACACAAATTACATTGCTGTGCTGACCCCTGCTCCAGCCTGGGCTCCCTCCCTCTCCCATCCACAGCAACCATACCTGGCTGCAGCAGCACCATCTGCTCTGCCCAGATCCCTGCCACACTTACCTTACTGATCAGCTGTTTTCCTTCTCCGG